ATCCCACTCGGGCCTCCAATCCGGATACTTTCATTGTCTCGTAGCTCCGTTCCTTATCTTTCTGATTGACCGATTTCACCCTAACACTAACCCTAACCCACTTCTATAAGTCGAAAGGAGACTGCGACCATACCCGAGGCCACAACATCTTGGTCTTCACATCCTTAACCAGCCCTAGCTTCCACTTTTTCTATCCTCTTATTATCTATGATACCAAGCCTATTAATTCCTATGCCCTAATCTCTTGTGCGCCAACCCACAAATGTTGTGGTTCAACATTGAACCAAGTCAAAACAAGCTGTACCACAACATTTGTGGGTTGGCACACAAGAGATTAGAAGTTCTATCCCACCAGAAAATGACAGGGTTTCCTCTTGACCAGCTGTCGATTAGCTTTACTGGAACATTTTTGTTGACGCTGTTTTTGAAGTAATCTCCTTCGATTCCGGTAAATAAATGCTGGAATTTCGTCTCTATGACATTTGAATCTGTCCACCAGACGAAATGTAAGTAAGCTCAACAATTATGTAACAAGAGATTTATCGAAACCCAAATGTTTTTCGAAATCTCTGCTATACCCGGATTAAAGAATATGCGAATAAAAGTTAGGTTTCAATGAATAAAAGTAGACAGAATCTTTCTTTCAAGCGATTTGTCAATGAATGTTTTGAGAGTGTAAATGGTAGAACTTTGCTGCCGGTAGAATACATTCCTATGCCTCACTCGTAGCCCCATTATTAGTGTGTCTTACAGGGCTTGCTATTTTCTGTCGAGGCAGTTGAGGTGCCTCGCAAATGGCAAAAAATGTGGGCCCATAACAGAGAATACCTATGTTTTCTGAATTAGCTTCGAGAAGCCAATTCTAATGCTGACATGAAGCAGTAGTAAACGATATTACTAGTCATAAAAATAAAAGCAATCAGCTGAAGGTGTGGTGAAATAGGATTTCACCGAAAAAATCAGAAGCCTTTGATAATATTTCCAACCTTAAGAGTGTGAAATAGAAGGAGGATTGCAATAAAATTGTATTAGAAACAATGCCAAGATGTGAATAACATAAGAGAGAAACAAGACCAGACTTAAGAGTCACTTGCCGTTACCTCGAATTCACAAAGCAAAAATGAGATATCTCTTGTCTCACATTACCATTACTTTTACTGTCACCAGCCTGCTTACATCCTCTTTTCCAGCTCCAAATACACACAGGCCTTAGACCAAGACAGGCTTAGCCAAATCGGAACCACTCCCGGTTTCCTCCTGATGCGACCGAAGCCAGGTCTCTTTGGCCAAACTAACTGTTCTGGCAGGATTCTGGCCGTACCACCGTTGCCATGAGCAGAGGACACCCGCCAAGTCGGTCGTCGAGGAGGAGGCAAATAAAAGGTTGATCAACCACGAAGTCGACTCTTTCTCCACGAAACAGGCTGTTGGCCATGCAGAAGACGCTCGCGGCCGTTGAAGCCTCGATGCCGGCTTCATCGACGTGCAAGCGAGAGAATTGCAGAGCGGTTTGGATGTAAATGGTCTCTCGGCTGGTGATTCCTGTTAAGCAAACACAAAATTAGCACCATATATAAAGAAAATCTATCTTGAAGAAACAATTGACGATGTCATGTGATTAAATGTTTCATTTAACATGAAAATTTGGTTAAAAGAGATAAATAAAGTAAACAGATAGAAAACCGAGGGATTGCTTTGCAGTTGGGAATGCTGATAAAGCTGCGAGCCAGATCCATCCGAACGGAAATTTCGTCTATATACGAAGAAAATGCGGGTTTCGAGGTATCTCCTAATATAAGATTGCTGCGAAGACTTTTAGTTCATATAGAAGTACATGATGAAGCGATTCGTAGCTCAATCTTAACAGAAGACGTCGGCTGATTCGCGTTCTACTGCCGCCGTTTGGCTTTAATACGACGCTCAGTCCACGAGACATCCTCCAACGTTTCGGGCTAAGACAGGCTGAGCCTTTGTTCGCCATGCGACGAACATCGTCAGAGCCGGGACTCATTCTTGCAAACGCATCAAGTTAACATTAGGTCAAGAATACCGATTCGAGTTTTTCTATATCATGCATATAATATACGCATGGCGGGAAAAATTTAAGAAATAGATGGAGATAGATGGGATTGGTTGATCCGCGTAAACTCGGGTGTGTATGTGTGTGTATGTATGCCAACGTCTGTACCAAAAATCGGTCATAACTGAGAGCAATTAGCAAAAAGCTTGACGTCAGCCACGAGTCATCAAGGCCTAATTGTACAAGGAAAAGAGTATGACTGAGATTGCGTCAGGCCGTAGCAACCCTGGTTTAATTGATGAGGTGTAAGTATGTAAGTGTGAAATTCAGGTTACGAAACCACCAGTGTGAACCCGTTATTCTGTGCTAGTAAGGCTTAATGGCCCAAGGAGAAACATGGCTGGGATTACGTAGACTTGCACGTCTGTTTAGGCTGATGAGCTTGGCATGCCTTTTGAACGAGTGTGAATTTGGTTCGAACCATTACTCAGTTGACAAGTTGAGTCGTCTTCTTTTGGACGGCGGTTCAACATACTCTCTCTTCTTCAATCTTTCATTCAAGCATAATTAATTATTACTCAACTTTCTACCACCATTTCTCACATTCAAAGTATTCCCTAATCTATTAATTTCAGTAGCCTCTTTTATCTTGTGTTTGGTATCAGACACCATAATAAGCAAATCACTGGTCCGAGACTTTTCTATCTCATGTCCAGTCTCCGCCAATTCTGACCGTTTCAGCCAGCAGCATTTAGAAGCATCATTTAGGAGAAAAATGAAAGTCAAGCCTTTTTCGCTTATTCTAAGTTCGAGGGTTCATTTCGATTATCGAAATTACTTTTTTGAGTCACTCAGGTGGTGTGGAGCCCTCAATCCAAGCTCTGGATAGCACTCCAGCAACTAGTTTTTGATGGCACAACTAAGAGTCAGTCAACATTTGGCAGGTCAGGAACAAATAAAAATGACACACCCGAAAAATCAGCTTCAGTACCATCAAAGGCCTTGTGCATGCCCATGGCCTGAAGAACCGGGATCAGATTGAGCTTGAAGCTGAACTCGAATCGCGGAAGAGAGAGGTTCACCTGAGCCAGAGAGGATTTGGTCATCAGCGTAAGGCAGTCCTCACTCAAACTGGCTTCACGAGCTTTCTGCAGCTCGAACCGAGTTGTTGGCAGACAAATAACAAAGCTGAAACGTTCACTCTGTGGACAATTGGAGGTTAAGAAGAAGAGAAGGACAAGCAATCGAAAGTAGAAAATTATTTTTTGTATTTAAGTATAGTTTCGAGACTACCAGTAAATCAGTAATATGAGATGTATTCACACAATTTCTTTTAAGGTGATAAAGGACTGGTAGAATTTCACATAGCCTTGCTTTCCCAAAAGTTGTTCTCATCCAGGATGGACTGCAGTTTCGACCTCACATCGGTTTAAAGCTTCCATTCTGCACAGTCATGGTTCGACTCCCACTGGGGGTGTTGATAAGACCGATGCGAGGTTGAAATTGCAATCCACTACAGTCCACGAATGTAGGTGAATACATCTCAGATGAAAATTAGCCGAGGAAAAGTATGCTT